ACCAGTAGTAGTAGTAGTAGTAGTAGTAGTAGTAGTAGTAGTAGTAGTAGTAGTAGTAGTAGTAGTAGTAGTAGTATAGTAGTAGTAATAGTAGTAGTAGTAGTAGTATCGAAATATGGGGCAAAAAAGACCGTCAGTCTGACATGACGACCAAAAGTGCAGATAATCTCGTGCACAGGAATCTGTACGTCCACTTTGTGTAACTTGTAATATAAAGCTGATAAATAAAGGATGCATAACTCTGACTCAAGCTCCTTATCTGTTCGGATGGCATGATCCTAGCACTGCTGTCCCCTTTGCAAACATGCTTATTTGGTGCATTGATGAATCACGTCAATTATATATGATTTTCATGTTTACAACTGTTTTAGCTGTGTCATTTCTCTGTTTCTAGCTTCTGGGACGAGTTGCGTGGTGTGGTTGATATTGGTATAGGCTATGGAAATGGCTTGCGTTGAGTCGTTTTTAATTATTTTGTAGTTCTTCGGTACAGTCTGAAGCATATTGTGGTCGATCGGCCTTGAGAAATCCAAGAGACAAATTGCTACCCCAGAGTTACAAAGTTCTATCTGCTCAGTAAGCTACATAGTTTTTAGAAATTTGACATAAACAATTTTGAGTTTCACTATATGTCAAGCCTTCTCGAGTGCAATTCTTAGAATAACTTGAAAATGACTGAGAATATTCTTACAATTTTGATAGAGCAGAAAGAAGACTTGATGGTCTTAGAAACTCAAAACGGGCAAAAATGTTATAACTTTGAATTCTGAGGTCGTGAAATGTTTGGGATTCGAACCAATGTCGACCCAAATCATTTTCACTGTAACCAATAATACTGCAGGAGGTTATCGTCGGCAGTTTGTTTTAATGTTTTAAGCCTAAAACAGTGGGTTTTTTTCAGGAGATAAAAAAAAGTTTAATTTCATCTGTTAAAAGTTGCACCTATACTATAATGTATCATTTCTGCCTTTTGTATTTACAATTTGAATTTCGACAAAACGATTATTTCTTAAGCACATGTGACTAATACCATAGAATTAAAAAAAATAATAATCTAACAAAAAATGTTCAAAATTGTGGGTTTAGTTCATCTGAACTGCTGGCCGACGTTATAAAGAGGAGGATTTTGGAAAAGAAGGGGTGGGGGATGCATACG